TTCTGGCAGCCGACAGCTTCTAATGGGCAACTCCTCAAATTTTTAGTGCTTACAGATACACGCGTAAATGAACGGCATCTATTCATCGTCCCTAAGTGACTTAACCCGAGAACCGTCCACTCTAAAATGCTTCGATCTCGCTTGATACTTAACTAAATCACTCATAGTTTGTTTCTATAGATTCATCTACTTGAGATGAACACATCCATACAGTTAAATACATATGAAAAGCAAGTTCACTTCAAAATAGGTGAAACCAAGAGCATTTTTAGGGTTAGTGAGCTATACCTTTGCCCAAGAGATGAGGTCTTGATTGGGTTGGTTGTAGACATTTGTTACTACCTCGTGAAGCTCATCCAAGCACCAATTCAAGCTGAGGTTGAGCCTAGGCAAGAGTTTGATCAAGGGGTGATTTGGGCTTGGTCTAACAACGGATTAGAGTGAATGGAAGAGAGGGGTTTTGATGGAGAACTTCCTTGGTTGGTCTGGGAAGCTTTTGGAATGATTAATTTGAAGTTTGGCAGAGTTTGGTAGAGTGGCAGAAAAGGCCCCATATTTCAAGCTTGAAATTAGGGTTAGATAGTGAGGAAGATGGTTGGAATTTGATTGGGATGAGCTTAAGAAGGTTTATGAAAGCTTTGAGAGCAATTTGAAGTGATATCTCTAAACAATTGGCAGCACCTTTATCATGACCATGAGATTGGTGGTTTAAATAGAGGAGGAATTAAGACTGAATTGGCTAAGCCAGGGGGTGGAGAAGGAAGCTTAGGTGGAGGACTGAACGGTGCATTTCACCAATGAGAGTGAGCCACATTGAATGGGTGAAAATTTGGGTTTGAGCTAAGCCTAACCTTCTTGATGTTTGGTTTTTCGATGACTAGGTTGGCTGGCCAGGCCAGGGGAGGTGGCTAGCTGATTCAGGAAAGGTTAGGGAAGGTTTAATTGTGGTTAGCTTAAAGGTTTGATGGTTGATGGCATGGAATAGAGAGCTTAGCCAAATTTGGGGTCAATCTTCCTTGATTTCGAGGACCCGTGGTCCATTGCACAAATTTTGGGTCTTATGTGATTTGATTAGCATCCTAGGTGGTTATTGAAGGCAAGAGAGGGTAAAGCTTGGTTAATACAAAAGATTTGAGTTGATTTGGGGTTTAGGTTCAATATTAGGGGTTGGGCCAAGAATTGGATTTTGTCTTGGCTTTGGCTAGGTTTAAAAAATATTTTAAGGGCTTAAATTGTACATGGGGATGTTATGAAGAGTTTAGGAACTGAAATTAGGAGTATTGAATTGATTAAGGGCTCGAATTGGATGGAATTTTGAAGTTGGGCCAACTTGGGGCATTTGGTTTGGACTTGGAATTAGGTTAGGTTTAAGCTTGGTTATAGGCCAATTGAGGGCTCGAATTGGTTTAGGGGGATGCTATGAATATTTTAGAATTCAAAATTGAGGAAATTGGATGGGTTATGGAGTTCAATTTGATGGAATTTAAAGGTATGGTCAAATTGCGGATTTTGGCCCAAAATTGAATTTAGGGTTTGGAGGTTGGTTCAATTGGGCTCCAAATTGGTGTAAATTGGAATTGGGCATATTGATAAATGATTTAGGATTGAAATTGGGTAAAATTAAAATGAATTGAGTGGAAATTGGGATTAAGTTAGGGAATTTGGCCTTTAGGGGCAAAATTGGGATTTTAGACAAAATTGGTTAATTTGGTGAAATTGGGCTCAATGGGTGGTTAGGATTGGTTTAGGGGAGGTTTGGAATAATTTTGGGAGATTTTAAGAATTTTTGGGATGTGATGGGTATTTTAGTAATTTTGGCAAATGTAAGGGTGTTTTAGGAATTTTAAAAATTTTAGGGTGTTTGGTCAATTTTGATGGTTTAGAATGGTTTGGCATGATTTATGGAGAAAATTGATGATTTTGGTCATTTTTGGAATTTTTAGGGTTCTAGGGGCAATTTGGAAATTTTGAAAAATTTGGGGCTAAAAGGCCAAAATTGGTTATTTTGGTAGGATTGAAATCCATTGAAGGCAATAAACACAAGATTACCCTATTTGAGCCATGCGACCAAGAGGAAGCTTACTTTGGATCCTTCATGTGTGGGTCATAGCTACCTTGGCCAAGGGCTAAGAGCTTAGGGATCCCCCACATGGGTTTCTAAATGAGCAAAAGGGAACAAGTTCAATGGGTGTGATTTTGGGAGAGTTGTGATTTCCTTAAGTAGGTGGAAGACCAAACCCTAATCACCCAATGTTGCCCTAACCCAAATAGTCTTATGGGGACTCATCATTTGGTTCCTCACATGTTAGTCTAAGCCTTTCAAGTATTGGAGGTTCATGACCATCCATGCAGGTTTCAAAGAGAGTAAAGAAGTGGTTTGAATTTCTATGTAGTTGGGCATCATATCTAATCTTCTAGGATAGTCAAAAGGAAAGTCCTATGTCTAAATCCTAAACACTAAGAATAAGAAAAAGACCTCACCAAAAATTGAAGTCAATAGGGGGCCAGAGTCTCTTCGTAAAGCTTTTTTGATGGTTATCCCCTGATGCTATCAGACAAGTTGATCAATTCAACTGCTAAAGGTTTGGGCTTTGACTTTTTGTCTTTTTTCACTTTCTCCTTCTTCTTTGCAGAAGCGGGGGCTCAATAGCCCACCAAGGCCAAGTATTTAAGATTCAACCCACTCTGACTCGCAACCTTAGCTATGTTGTTTCTCGACTAATTGGGAAGGGGTAGTTGTAAAGCGTGTGAATCCCAATACTGATCCAATTTATTGGATTCACTGGACACAAATATCCAAGGAAAGTTAATTATCAAAATTAATTTTTTTTATTTTGGTGTCACTCATTGTTTAATAATTTTCCTGTTCTTATCATATTTGTCGCTATCAAGGGATAGAAGAACTCAAGGAACTAATATGAATGCACCAAAACTGTCGACAATTGAAACATCATATTAAAGTAACACGATTTGAGCCAACCATTCGACAACCGACCACTCGGTCAAAGTCAACTAGTGCACAGTGTCAAGGGATTCAATCGATGGACCGCGCTCATAGTCTTAACCACCCAAGCTTCTTTCAGGGGCACGATCAAAACTAGTTGACTATCGGCTTTGCCTCAACAGGAAAGATCACCACACGATTGGTCGCCCTTGATGGACCGAGCTAAATTTCTCGATCAACTAATGACCGTTGTATTAAACTTAAACAACTATATAGATCCTGTATTAAATTAGCTCATTAATTGCATTAAGGTCAGCTTCAATAATCTCTATCTTCTTTAAATAATTAAAGGTGATTTCCATAATCGCTCATTCTTTTCTGTAATTATATAAAAAAACTTCTATAAATAGGAGGCTCGACGATGAATAAATGTACCTTTTGCCCTACTCTTCTCTTGAGAATTCTCTCTCTCTCTCTCTCTCTCTCTCTCTCTCTCTCCTACTTTTCTTCTCTCAGTTCCAACTCTCAATGCATGTTTTATGTGAAGCACAATCTACAATTCAACACCATACAATGCTAATCTTTTTACAAATCTAACACTTGAAGTGTAAAAATCATTAGTGTTTATAAATCTAACACCAGAAGTTCTCAAATTTTAGAAATTTACAGACAGAGCGCACAATGTTGATGTATTTATATATGTAACACCTAAATAACATACTACAAAGCATCTGATATTGTAAGGTTTTATTGAGAACTTGAATGCAAATTTTCGGACATACCACAAAATTTTGATGCATTATCATATTCAACACCTAATTAACATAGTTTGGACTCAACAAAGAGAAGAAAAGGGCCAGCTAATGGAAAAGGGAAAATGGCAGAGACGTAGCCATTTTTCTCTCACAGATCATAGGAATGAACAATGAGCTAAATATCATTATTATTTTTTTTCAAATCGCTAATGTATCACCCCCTTCAAATGTACAATCAAGTATTGAGATGATCATTCCACAATCATAGAACTACAGACAAAAAACAAAGAGACGATCAAAATTGAAACCCATCATCACATCTTAGCATTGAAGGTAATATTATGCAAAATATGGCAAACAAAAACAAATGATATGATCGCACATGTCGCTAAGAGAGTAAGGGAGCCGTAGAGAACAAAGTAACCTCACCTATAGAGAAAGTGTGTGTGAGAAGCACAGAGATGAACAAGTTTCAAACATCTCACCTTTAGCCGAGCGGTAAAAATCGAAGATCAGCAGTAAAAAGCCAACCTTAGCCACACAGAGAAATGATTGATTGCAGCAAACATGACCAACTAATGCCTTTGGTGGAATCACTTGTCGTGGCTATCACGAGAAGTGTTTGTTCCAAGAACACACCGTCAATCAGCCGTGGTGCAAACACCTCCTAGTTCTCCCTTATATTGAAAAAATATTACATCCGGACTCTGGATGTGCGGAGAGTAACCCAGATGCAGCGAGGATGGCTGAGAACCGATTTCTCTCCTCCTCCGCTGCATCCGGGTCGTTGTCGGTACATCCAGAACACGGATGTAATATTTTTTATCCTTATATCAGTCTAAAGTCTGCTCCAATTTTTAGAGGCGTAATCTTAACCGAATTTGGACAGCGCGAAATCTCAATTTGAACTTTTAGACAATTTTTATTACAATGAATTAAAATTTTCCTTTTTATAATTACATTATATGTCAAGGGCCCTCCAATTAAAAAGCGGCAGTTATTCCATCAAACTTCATTTACTCTCTCCGCTCGGAATTACAAGTCCGTGATTCGTGAATGTCCTTTTTCTTCTCTCTTATTTATAAATTGTTACGGTTTCATTCGCCAACTTTTTTTGACATATTTTCCCACAGAATTCTTCGCTCTGTAAAAAATTAGTTATTTGTCTTTTTTTTTTTTGGGTAACTTAATCATAGTTTTAAAATTATAAATTTTATTAATCTAACTAACAAATATTAAATGCTGGTTTTTTTGTTTTTTTTGTTTTTGTGACAGTCCTCTTCCTCGATTTATAGCCCCGGTTGGCATCTCCGCTCAAATCGCCCCACCGCCCCATTCTCTCGCGAGGCCGAGTGGAATCGGTCGATCACCGTAATTTTATTTAGCTTTCCGGCCTGCAAAGGGTACATTTCTGTTGCATTCTCTCTATCCCTCACTGTGTTTATTACTTCTTGGAGGAGGATCCAGAAATATCGGTTACTACTGAGTTTACATTGCATTCTCTTCTAAGGTGTTATTAACCCCGATCTCTGCTTTATTGGAATTTCGATGGGTTGATCTTCTTTTTAATTATTTGAATGTTTGTGGGTGAAAAAAAGAAGTTTTGAAAATGATGATTGTATTCAACAGGATTTATGGTGTTTAGCCAAACGATAAAAAAGGAAAGCTAAATCGGGCGCTCCGTTAAATCTATTTTTTCTCCGTTCCATCCATTTTTTTATTTGAATCCAGATTTGTTAAATCCAATTATTTGATGGATTTAGCCAGGGAAAAAAAATAATTGCTACAAGATCCGCAAATAAAATTCCAAACACTTTTGTTAATTTAACAACATATGGTTCTGATAAAACTGAATATACCGGTTTTACTAAATTCTATTTAACGTTAATCCTTAATGCAGCCAAATACTTACATGTGAAGATGAAATCATTTGGTGAAACTTTTTAATGAAATTTGAAATCGATATAATTTTGTAACTGCATGAGCTGTTACTTATGATTTGGTTCATTTTCCCTCTTAAAGTTGAGTGGAAGAGAGATGAAAATACAGTGCGACGTATGTGAGACGACAGCCTCTCTGCTCTGCTGCGCGGATGAGGCTGCGCTCTGTTGGGGTTGCGACGAGAAAGTGCATGCGGCCAACAAGCTTGCCGGAAAACACCAGAGATTACCGCTCCTCTTCCCCGGCCCCTCCTCTACTACGTTCAAAATGCCCTGTTGTGATATATGCCAGGTATGCAGGCTTCCCTGCACCTCCCATTAGTTAGCTCTTTTTAGTCTTTATTTTGATATGTTATATGCAGAGTTTTTGTTATTCTGTGCCAAAACCTAGAACTCTCTTTTGCCATCTATATATTGGAAGAGAGAAGATCTATGTACTCCGGGTACATCATATTAATCAGCAAGCAGTGGAGGTATCAGAACTTCAAGAAAGGGGTGGCGAAATTAAAAATTAAGTGTCCAATCCGGATCTATATCATGAATCGCTCCTATAGAGTAGAGCGTAAAACAAGCGCCAGAAATAGAGAGTACACAGTAGAATGAGAGAATTATGTCACATTTTATTAATGGAATAGTTCCCCTATTTATAAGCAAAGGAGGTATAATATACATAATTATATGTTTATCCATCTTTAATGGTAGCGCTATAGGGTATTTTGGCTAATTACATAAATTAGCATATTGCTTGGCTACTCTATCACTCAGTAGGCTGAGATTAATTAGCCTTGGTTCAACAAGGCTCATTTGTCAGGCTATGCTGAGTTGGGGTTGTCGATCTGCTTTTGTTAATCTTCGATCATCGAACTTCGCACGATCAGCTTGGGACCATCAGCCTGTTGCTTTGGTCCAACTGTCGACTAACGTTCCCAAAACAATGAACCCCTGTCTCCAGGGTAAGACTAAGTTGTCGGGCAGAGGGTGAATTAATGTAATCCGATAGGTAGCTCACCTATTGACAAAGGTCGTTTGGGACGTTTGTAGAATATATCTCGGTAAAACTTTTGGCCCCTTAATGAAGAGCCTTAATGACTCTTATGAGGCTGTTGGCGATGCTAAGACGAGAGTTGAGCTAAGACTCTCTTGACTTGATGGATCTTGATCATTTGCTAGGACAATTTTCATCTAGTTGACTTCAAATCCTGATTGAAGAGATATGCACTTATTCAATCAAGTCCTCTGATCTCTCAATGATAGGACATGTGGTCTTCCTCTTGTGGACCCTTCCTGACTGTACTTTTATGTTTTTTAGTCCATTATATTTCATCGAGATTTGTGCTGACGCATTTCTGATGTACATATTGATGACGAGTATTTAAGTTTAAAACTTTTTATATCCCTAAGAAGCTTTTAGAACTATGACAAATATATCAAAAAAATAAAAATTTAATTGATATTAAACTCTTATTAAATATTTATGTTCATGTTCACGGGTTAATATTGATTTTGGTGCTACATAATATTTTAAACTCTTTTTTATGCTTTGCTTTATAGGATATATAACCGCATTATTTACATTAATTAAACCCCTAGTCAGCTCCTTTTATTTTTCAAGGTATTATCTTCAACTAGTGCTTCTCTCCTTTTAATCTTAGCATATATTTTTATCTCTTTTTTTCTAGTTTATCAAAGATCGAGCTTAATGGTCCCAAGTATGTTACCATCTTTTTGGATTTTTGTAACGATTTTATTACTACCCAACATTCTCATCATAAAAAATAGTCTTGCAATTTATCTTTACATTACCATGATGTTCGTTTACTACATAGATAGAGATGTAAGTGATAGTTAAATTTTTTGCATAGAAATACCTTGCAAAAAAGAAAAAAAAAACTACGAGTTATGACCCAGTCAAAGAATCCACTAGATAATTAATTGTGCAACTATTCACTTGACTCTTGATTTAGAGAAGATGGGATTATAAAAATTGACAATCACAACTTTGTAATAGTATTTTGGCTACAACAGACACACTTGGGCTGCAAGAACTGTAGTTAGTGGCTATGATGGTCATAGTTAGCTATAGATGCTGGTGATCGTTCACTTGCATTTCTATTCAAGAGTAATGATTTAATCGTTAGCTCTCCATTCTCTTTTTCTCCTCTCTTTAAGTGATGATTGGGGCTAGTTATAATATTTTCAGTGGGCTTCTCAGTAAATTTAGCTAGGATCACAAAATATTCTATTAGATGTCTACATTGATTCCCTTGATAACAAGTAGTTTTATTAACATTTGCGTGCCTTGACATCAGAATTATATGATCTCGGGCTTGTTGAATTATGCTTATTGATCTGCTCAATTTGATTATAAGAAGGATAAATTTAGAGATTATGTAGTCTTCCAATTGATGCAGCAAAGCCTTTCAACAACACTTCAAGTATTTGATATGAGCTTATTTAGATTCGAATTGGATCACTTTCAACATCACTTGGTTGGTCTTGTCAAAGTGCTCATTTTGACAATAACCTTGTTGAAATAGGTGTTCGGATATCTTAAATTTGAATTTGGAATGTTTCTTGCTCAAAATGCATCAAGATTTGTGTATAGTAATAAAAAATTTGTGTGAATGAGAAGAAACCTATTTGATTCAGGTTTTTAAGTCAACTTCCTTGATATTTATAATTATTTAAGAACATCTAGCAATTTAAATTCAAAATTTTATGGATCATCTAAGATCTTATACATACATACATACATACATACATTGTGTTTGTCATGTTAAAGATAAATCTATATTTTTTATAAAGCAAATCAAAAAGCTTTTAGTTTATTTGAGTATTTTTAAAAACAGGTTGATTTATTTTTAAAAACCAAGATAAAAATACTTGAAAAACATATTGAGCAAACATATTTTCAAAAATAAAAAACAAAAAACACAAATGAAAACAGAAATAAAAATAATATTGATCATAAGCAGACCATTATCTACAATCTTCCATATCATCAGCTATATGCAGCTCAGTTGGCCCAGTGGTTAGTTGTTTTTTCTCCAATTACAAGGTAGCATGTATTGGTGTATGTATTAGTTTAAAAAAAATAAAATAAAATCCTTTCATGGCTGTATGGTTGAATTTTCATGTCATAAGTTCGTTAAAATCAAATCAGTATCATCATTTGAGACTTGTAACATGTTTTATTCATATGGATGATAAATAACAGATATTTCTTGTTTTGTTCATTTTATGAACAGTTCTATGATGTCTGTTATGTCTTGGCGCTTAAACTTATCAATAAAGTACATAGAATTATGGTGAGTTTCTTTTCCTTATGAAGCCAAGAAATAGCATGTTTACCCAAATTTTGTTTGCCAAAGCAATTTCACAGATAAGTGTCATCGATAGTGAAGAAAATGCCCCACAAAATTACGGCTTTTGCATTTGACGGAAATGGTCTTTTCAATGCCTTCTCATCATCTATCGTTTTATTTTATTGGATTTATCTTTGAGAACATATCTGTCTGGACAATTTCCACAGCTTCTTAAGCATATATATTTAAGTAGGGATTTTAATAATCGATGTAAAAATTACATATTTTGTCTACATTGAGGTAGTTTCAAAAGGCAAGGTAGAGTATAAGACAGAACTCATTATGATCGGCATTTACATACGTCCCACATAATTCTTATGTATTTACTTATCTAGCATCTAAACATGCATTTACACATGCATACCGCTCAGATCTAACATCACATTAAAATTTAACCATCACTATCTTTTTAAAAATAAATTACACCTTTCCACACTTGGATTTAATGCACCAAGATGTTATAAGTGTAATTAATTATCACACTTTTGATGAGTCATACGTAAATACATAAGAATTGTCTGGTATGTATGTAACTTATATATATATATATATATGTATATATCTTATATATATATATATATATATATATATATATATATTGCTATGAAAATTTTGTATGCTAGGAGTTGTATTGTAACAAAACAGCAGGTAGGCAGTTAATAAAAAAAGGCCCCCCAAAAAGCAGGTATAGGGAGCAGCAATCTGCCTTACCAGCCTGTCTTTGAGAAAAAAGTTGCACATGATTTTTAAATTTAATTTAAGGAAAGAAAAAGCAGTGGCTCAAATCAAACATTAGCTGTTGCATTAATGAGCGTGCTTTTTTGGAACGACAAATAAATCCAAGTCAATCAAGGCTTGTAAAGGTGAAATGTCTCGTTCCATCTTCCTCTTAATCATTCACAAATTGTAGAAGTAATTGAAAGGTTGCTGTCACATAATCTAAATTAGAACATAGCTGCAAATGTATTAATGCGTTGCAACTATGTCATTAAATGAAACCTAAGATAATCTTGATACTTTGTCAATCATTAATTCTAAAATTCTAATTGTACAAAAACTTTATTATGTTATGATTACATCAACCCAAATCAACAACTCAAATACCAAGGGGTTGAGACCAATTGTTTTTTGTTTTCGATTTGTTATTTTATTTTATTTTGTTTTAATGTTGATTTAAAATAAAATATATTTAGCAGATTAAAATAAACTATAGGTGTTTTGAAATATTAAAAATATTTAAAAATTATGTTGAGAGTTTTTTTTTAATATAGTAAATAAACATATTTTTAAAAATAAAAATAAAAACAAAACAAAAACTTTTTTAAAAAACTTAAGAAAAAAAGGATTTAGACTTAAATTGTAATGATGCAACAAACTTAAAAAAAGTTGTCCTTTTTGTTTGGAAGGTAGTTATAGATGTAACCATGATCATGTGATATTTGTCTATTAGAAAACAGTTATGGTCGCCGTATCTTCTTCTTTAATGCTCACCTAAATTCAACAAGTGTTCATCAATCCTTATGTCTTTCTTTTGAGTCATTCTTCTCCTTTTAATACGTCTAGCTCTCCTAATGGAAATGAATTTTTACCCGTAGATAAATGCAACGATTTTATTGTATTATAAATTATATAAAACTTTGACAAACATATTAAGATATTAGAACCTTGAGGAAGTCGTATTAACATAATGGTACGTTTACAAGGTAAGCTTTCTAACCCTTTGTATATTCCAAACCTATGCTTTATCTCATGCTCATCTGAACTAGAATTATACTATTTGCAGGCACGCTTTTCAACAACGGTAACAAGATTGGTTTTTCCCTACACTGATGGAACAAATGTTTCAAAATTCATTTATACCCTCACTAAATTTTAATAATTGACTTATTTATTGCTTCTGCAGGAAAAAACTGGTTTTTCCTTTTTTTGCTTGGAGGATCGTGCTTTGCTCTGTAGGCATTGTGATCTAACAATTCACTCTGCAAGTCCTGTAGTATCTAACCATCAGAGATTCTTAATCACTGGTGTGAGGGTTGGTCTTCAACACTCTGTCACAGACAACAATGGCAGCTGCAGAGGCAGGGCAGCTACGAATGAGTTGAGCAGCAGCAGTGGAAGCGTTAGCAGTAGCGGTAATCTTCCTGTCTCTCTGGCCACAAAAAGTCTGGGCGTGGAGAAGACTGATGATTTTAAGCTTTGCTGGCCCTGGAATGAGATATTTGAGGGTGTTGATTTTGATCATTGTTATGGACTATCTGAGCCTGGTTCCTCGAACTAAGGGGCTGTTTGGCAGCAAGCTGGAACGATTTAATAAAGATTTACAGACATACCACTCAATTTTCATGTATTACATATCTATCACCTAAGCTTCAGTTTTATATACAGACCACCTTACCTATGTATCAAAATATTTATTTATTTTTTAAAAGTTAAAATAAAAGTATTTTTGATGTCATATGAAAGATTTTGGTGGTATAAATGTAGGAAGTAAGGTTTATGTGTTAGGTAAATACGAAGGAATTAGGTGGTATGTATGTAAATGCTCCTTTAATAAATCCTGGTGAAATTTCAGATTTAGTAAATCCTGTGGCAGTTAAATTTTGAGTATTATTTGACATAATGGATGAGAATTCTAGTTAAACCCTGACAATTTGTTTGGCTATTCATTTCAGGTTTTGAGGCGGTTAATGCAAGTAGGATTAAAAAGAATTCGTTCTAATAAGATGGGAATAGTTTGTGCAACTGCAATTAATAATGAAATTATAAATTGGCTTATGCAAGCTAGATTGTTCATCGTAGTCTCGTGATTATTTAGTGTCTTAGCGTTGCACTAACGTTCAACACACACATAAGTAATTTAAGTAACCAGTAGAGTAACCAGAAGTTTTTACGTGAGAAACCAAAAAAGAAAAAATTAATGGGGCTTAGCCTAGTTTTAACGATCCACTATAGGTTGATAAGTATATGTATAGGCCCTTGTCCTACAAGTGAAAAAAGGTTGCACAGTTTGTCAATGTACAATAGTTGTATGTAGAAGGGTTTGTTGTACAATGGTCAAAATTAAGGGCATTTTGGATTGGTTATCGGTACTTCGGTGCTCCATCTTCAAGGCGTATCTTTATCCAATGTTCAGGATGGTGCACTTTTCTGTAGGGTACCCGGTGACTCCGCGACTTTGGTTTGCTACTTATAGTGCTTCTTTACTCCGCAGTGTACTTCGCGTCTTTGCAAAAGGGCTTCATTGCAACAAGCAGGGAGTGGCAAATGGTGGTTGGTAAGCGGTGGTCAACTGTGTTTAGAGATTGCAGAAGTTGGAAGCATTCTTCGGGCCTTTTTGGTCTGGAACGACATTAGAATTGAACGCTTCCTCGTGAACCAGCTCTAAGTTGAGTTCTTCCAGTTCAAGGCCTAGGCCCTTTTTTATGAAGGGGTTAGGGCTCTCTATAGAGTATGAAAGTGGTCTCCCTATAAATAAGGAAACAATCTGGACTACTCCATCGAACTACCCTGAAAGATTTCCCTGATCGGATGCTATTTTATGGAAATTTAAGTTTCTTCACAATGTCAGAATTAAGTGATCTTAGGCTCGTTCGACTCGTCTTGTTGAAATGTTCGATTTGACTATAAGCTTGTCAGATTTAGAATCTGTTGACCTTCAAAGTAGGTACCAAATGTTTCAAAAATTAGCTTCATGGCTTGATTTAGGCCTCATTTGACTTAGAGTGGACTTGGAATTTTTACGTTGTCTCGTCAAGATACTCAATTTAAATGTAAGTTTGCTGAAGTTAAAGTTTTGGATGATTTTTACTTGATGTAGAATTTATCTTTCTCAATAATAAATTTATCAACCTTCATAAATTCATCTTCTATAACTCCTTTAGGATAGGTGATCGATCGATCAAATAACTAAATGTTTACTGTAGTAAGGGAAATCTCTCCTAATTCTAACCTTTTGAAAATAGATAAGGGCATAAGATTAATACTGGCTCTCAAATCATATAAAGCTCTTCTAAAAATCTTTCCTTTATAGCACAAGGAATGATAAAACTACCAGGATTTTTAAGTTTTTCAGAAAGCTTTTTCTGATTTATAGCTCTACAATCTTCACTAAATGAAAAAGTCTCATTTTCTATAAAATTTTATTTTCTATTAAGTATATTCTTTATAAACATTACATAACTCAGTATTTGTTCCAAAGCTTCAACAAATGGAATGTTTATAGTTAGTTTCTTAAATATTTCCAAAATTTTTTAGAATTATTTATCTAACTTTTATTGTCTGCAACTTTGTGGAAATGGGGGTGGTGGTTTTGCAACAGTAATTTTCATCGGTTTAATAAGATATTCTGAATCATGATGAATATCTTCTTCAAAATTTTCAATTTCCACCTCTTCGTTCTCAACTTCAATCTCTTTGTGAACTTTTATTTCCACTTCTCTTCCACTTCTTAATGTATAGCTTTAATTTGTTCTTTATAGGATTAATTTCAGCATTACTAGGAAAGTTCCTTGAGGCCAACTGCTAAGTGTGGTAGCAATATGTCCCAATTGATTCTCAATGTTCCTAATTGTCGCTCCCTAACTTTATAATTGATTACCCATTTGTAATACTAATTTGTTCAAAAATAATTTGTTCTCCTTAAATTGTGAATTGTTGTTAAAACCGAGAGGATAATAAGATCTATAATTATTATTTTCTTGATTGTTTACATTTCCCAAAGGGTTCACTTGATTGTTCCCTCATTATGGATTTACACCATTAGAGTTATTATTATTCCAACTTAAATTAGGGTAATTTTTCCGACCAGGATTGTAATAATTAGAATACAAATTATTAGGTCGATTATTTATTGCATTCAAAGTTTCATACGATGATTGAGAATATATCATTTATCCGAATGAATTTTCCTCAACCACTGCTTGTGTTTGAGATATATTCATTCCTAATTTATCCAACTTCTTTGATATTACAGCATTTTGAGAAGCCAAATTAGAAATTGCGTTAGAGTAATGATCACTAGCTACTCTTTTTTTATTTACCCTTTCAGGGGCCATTGAAAATTGTTAGTAGCTATCTCTTCAATTAATAAATATGCTTCATCGAATGATTTTGACATTAATGATCCACCAACAGCAGCGCCAATAATAGATCTATGAGATCCCACTAATCCATTATAAAATGTTTGAATTATTAAGCAATCTAGTAAAGCTTGGTGTGGAAACTTCCTATGAAGATATTTAAATCATTCCCAAGCTTCATATATTGATTCCCCTTCAAACTTACAAAAATATGTAATATCGTTTCTAAGCTTAGCAGTTTCTTATGGTTAAAAATATTTAGCCAAAAATTTTTGAGATAATTCTCCTCAATTTATGATTGATTTAGATGCTAAAGACTTTAATCACATCTTAGCTTTATCTCTTAATGAAAAAGGAAAAAGTCTAAGTCTGACGACATCATTCGACACTCCATCATATTTAAATGTAGCATACAATTTTAAAAAACTAGCAAGATATAAATTCGGATCTTCAGATGGTGTTCCCCCAAATTGATTATTTTATACCATTTAGATAATAACAGGATTAAGCTCAAATGAATTAGTAGCTACAGTAGAAGTTTGTATAGTTAAGTGAATTTCATCTATTGTAGAGTTAATATAGTCTCTTAATGGTCTCTATTGATGTTCATTTTCTATACATTTATTATTTAAATTGTTCGCCATTGTGTGAAGTTCTTTTTTTCTTAAATTATTCTTATAGTTTGTTCTAATCCCCAATCGTAAGATAATAATCCTTCGGATCCTAATTTCCACATACACAATACAAGTAACAATTATAAAAATAAGAACTCACGCAAGAACGAAAATATTTTTGTTATTTTCTCTTTTTTCATAATTTTATTATTATTTTCTAAAATTAAATTTATAGTTCAAAAAAGTCTTTTAATTAATTTACCGTAGTCTCCCCGACAACGGTGCCAAAAACTTGATGCAGATTTCTTTGTTATGCGTTATAAATATTTTTCAACACCACAACACACAAGACAACTATACTAAAAAATATGTGAATTAACCATAGTAAAATTTACTTTAGTACAATAAGTTTTCTCTTTTAAAATATCTAAAACTGTCACTCTTAGTGAATTAAGGTGTACTTACAATTTCAAATCGTCACCAGGTTGCAAATGCAAGTTGACAGTCACCAAATTAGAATTTTTTGGTTGCCGGAATAGAAATCCTGATGCCCGATTTAATTTAATTTATATATATATTATTTGGGAAAAAGTAGTATTTTAAATTTTGAAAATATAAGACTGGACCGATTTCATATCCTCAGTAGTTTAAATAAACGAGTCTAATGCCACAAACAATGCATCTATCCCGAAGGGTAGACACACTAATTACTGGTAAGACTCGATTAAATAAATTAAAGAATTTATGACATCCGTTTAAGTCCATGAAAAACTTTTTTTATGTTAACCGACAAGTTCCCCCATGTAATACGAAAAATTAAATAGGGTTTATATTAAGCTTGGTTCTTGAAAGTTTCCTATAAGGGCAAGCCCTTATAGTTAATTACATTTTGGATAACAAAGTTACCTAAAAAAACTCTTTAAGGAGTTTCAAAGGATAAAAGTTTCAAAGGATCAGACAAAGAGATGTGAAATGGAATTGACTTAAATTTTAAAATATTTATTATTGAATCCAAAAGAAGAAGAACTAGGGGATGTCATGGATCTTGAGGATAACCTCAGTGATTTCCTAAGCCATCCTATGGTTTGGCTTCAGTTTTGAGAAAGATCATTTAAATGTTTCATCTTGCCAAATTTATTAATTAGTGATTAAATTCATGTGAGATGATCGCACAAATAGCCTGGAAGATGTGAGGATTTAGTTCGTGAAAAATGACAGCCTTGGAATCCTAAAACATGTTAGGGCTTAAATTGTATGGCAGAGCCATACAAAGGCCCAAAGGGAAGTTAAGGTTTTATGTCGCACTAGGCGGACGATCTCAATACCCCATGGTTTGTTGTTTAGTTCTAAGGAAAGATATGTTGTCGTAGCTCCTCGTGCCATTACAGATTGCTGTTACAGAAGGTTGGCCACAGAGCCAGCTCCAGGCTCCTCGGTGAAGTAGCGGTCCTAAGGTTTAATCTAAGGTTTAAATTATAAGATAAATTTAATTATTATGGGGGGAGTTAAAATTGATTAGAGCGACACCGGTTAGAATTCCACGGTTCCCTCGTTCTAGCACAATTATTTTCTTCAGATTCACTTAGTCTAAATAAATTTACTAAACTCAACTCAATGAGTTCCATACTTTCATTTATACCGTGGGAAATCTCGTTAGCAACCGTAAGTTACCTCCTCCGAGGGATTCTCATTTTTTCAATAGAGACTTTTTAATTTAGTTGTAATTTTTATTTTTTTTGTTTTATTTGTGATTAAATTTTGAGTTGTCTTATATTTTGACTATTGATACGCCTAAAATATATAGTATTTTTAGACACATTTTTATACTTATTTTTGAGATATTGCGCTTTAATGGAAGGTATTTTTGTGTTTTTTTCATTCAGGT